CGGGAGACGGCGGCTGCCCCCGGCCCTCACAATGGCTCTGCTCTCCCCCCAGAACCCCGAGCTGGGGGCCCGGCTGGAGCGGATAAAGGCCAAGCTGGCCAACGAGGAGTACCGGCGGATGACCCGCAACATCACCGGCCAGGTGAGGGGCCCGCTGCATTGCCCTCCCCCCAGAACCCCGAGCTGGTGGCCCGGCTGGAGCGGATAAAGGCCAAGCTGGCCAACGAGGAGTACCGGCGGATGACCCGCAACATCACCGGCCAGGTGAGGGGCCCGCTGCATTGCCCGCCGTCAGGATTCGTTCCTCAAAAGCGTGGCCGTTAGCAACCTGACAGATGGCAAAGGAAATGTGCCCCACAGAGCGAGTGCGGGCAGGGACTTGAGGAGTGCGCGCTGTAAATGCACGGGGACGACAGGTACGGTGTTGAGGGCAGAGGTGGGACAGGGTAACCAGGATGGTGAAATAGCAGAGATACTGACGTTGGGGAACAGCTCACTGTGCCAAAGATCTCAGGTTTTGATCTGGGAGGCTGAGCGCCTACGGTAAATGTTTTACTGGGAGCATCTGCGCTGCCTTTTTCTGAACGGTTACAGTTTCCTCACAGTTTTAAAATGAGATCATTCATGTCAAGGTAAAAGCTGAAAAAAGAGAGTAATATTTGGGCACTCATTCTTTCCAAGGAAAAGGTGAGATCTTTTGGCACGGTGACCGTTTGGACAAGCCACCATCCCTTCCTGATGACACTCCTCCACACTGGCGTCCCTGTGCATTTAAGTCCCTCCACGTATCCTCCTGTTGCCTTAACTCTCGCGGGAGGATCTGCTTTGCTCTCTGTCAAACTTAGCCGCTCCATCTATGAACCGGAGTGGTTTTAGCAGAGCTTAGTAGTGACAGCAATGTTCCTTTCAAACAACGGAGAAGCAGAGGAGTACTCCCATATCTGTGCGCTCATCGCGTTCTTCCCTGCCTCCCCCCCAGGAGCTGGTGTTTGAAATTGTGTAGCCATGTCCGATTTGACAAAGGGCGTGCAGAGCTTTACGCCATTTAGTTTTTGCCAGCTGCCTGAGCACGGGTGACAAGGTGGGACCCTTTGGCATCTCTATTAAAGACAAACCTGCAGCAGAGAACCCACGTGCAAGAAAACACTCACACTCCGAGAAGTGCTTTGGTTAGAAATGATCCCTTCTCAATGTCCTTGAATTGGACCACGAACGTAAACCCCGAGAAACCCAGGCCCTGTGGAACCGCTGCTCCCCCGCAGCCTGCCCGACCGCTGCCAGGGCCCCCCCTCTGAACT